AAAATACAGGTTTTAATTGCAAGTGGCATTTCCAAGCTACCCTGCTCCTGGGGCCACCTCGATGAGGGCCAGGCGTGCTACCAGACAGTTAATACCCTCAAACAGCTTCCCACTCCCAGCACAAACAGGGCTTTAAACACACCCCATTTGTATCACAAAAGGCAGCCAAAGCCCCTGTCCTTGCAGGAGGCTTAGCTCTAGTTAGGCACCCAACAAAGACTAAGTTGGTAAGAACCTCCATTTGGTGTCTCTGGCTGACTCAAACCCAGTGTTTTGCTGGGAGCAGATTCTGTAATTCTTGTACCAAACCCCTGTAGCTTGATCACGGATCACAGGCCAATTTTAGCTGCTACCCTTAGCACAGACTCACCAAATCCACTGGAGCTCCAGAAGGGATGCAGGAGAACAGCACAGCTCTCCTGTCTTAAACCCTTGGGTTTAAGGCTGCAGGTCCTGGGGCAAGCCAAGGAGATCAAGACCATGCTGTGACCTGCCTCAAGAAGAGCAGGCCTGCTTAAGACCCCTCTGCACAACCAAAGGCTCTTGTCCTGGGTGTCCCTCAGCTATGGGGAGTTTGGGCCTTCTAATTCCGTGGAGCATCCCAGGTGCTCTCAAGGGGCAGAAAGGAGTTTGCCACTAGCTGAGTTGCTCAGAGCTTTCCAGGCAGATTTTTTTCTTTTTACCCTGAATTTACAGACCCTGGAGCATTGGTCTGCCATGTTCTCAGCATCCTAACTGGCTTAGCCAACAACACACACTGCCAGTGTCTTGATGATGTGGGATCCTTTAGGTTTGTAACCTAAGGGAAATATATGCCAGCAATCTACTGTGTGGGTGAGGTAAGCAATCTCTATTCCTTACATCCAGTTGTAAATCAAAGGGTTTCCTGCCTAAGTCTAGATAAGAATATAACCCCCAGGCTATGGACCACCTGACAGCACGAGTCCTTTTGTTAAGAAAATTATTGCAGATGACTCAGTACTTTCTCTTGCTCTTCTTTGCCAAGTAGCATCTCCTCTGGATGGCTGGACTGAGCTGAGGCTTCAGCAGAAACTTGAAGCTGAGACTCCTTAGATGAGAAATTCCATCTGGGGTCTGGCTTTACAGGCCATCCCTGCATTTCCAGCACAGGAGGGCAATGAAGACGGAGCCACCTCCACCATATCCTGGTGAGATCTGGCTCCTTCACTTGGGGTAGTGCTTAACTCCAGGTTTTGCTGAGCCTGCCAGCCTTAAGCCTCCAGCCCTTGCCATGGCCTGTGGCAGTCCTGTTGTGAGAGACTGCTTTGAACACAAGCTGATGGCAGAAGAAGGATGTAGGGAATTTTTAAAAGCATTTTCCGTTCTGACTCTGGTGTATTACTGTACAACCATGTCCAACTCCTCCGTTGCTTTGTGGCTGTTGTCACTCACACTTTTCCTGTCTCACTGCTGCCCTGTCTACCCAGGCAGTGGGCTCGCTCCGTGGGATGCTTCCCACCAGCGCTGCAGGCACAAAACCGAGAACTCTGATGTCATGTCTCGTAAGCCATCAAAAAGCGCCTTGTTTGAAACAGGGAGATGGGATGAGGTCATCAGAAGTTGTAACCATTCTCTTTCTTTGGCACACCACCTCCTTATCTGGGAGGCATTGCAGGGAGGGCATTGTAAAGGTTACATAAAATCAAAACAGAATTGTCAGGCGTTCCTCTCCCCGACATTTGTTTTGGCAAATTTACATCCTCTGAAAAACATGAGGGAGGCATCGTTTTCCCAGCAGAACATCACGTAGGAGCAGGGCTGACACAAAGAACAGCCTGCCCAAGGGCACTGGGGAGGCCTTAGAGGCAGGAGGGGAAAACCTTTGGTGTACACTGAGTGCATGTGCAAATACCCCCAGGTGTCCCTCTGCCCACAGAATGCAGGAGGAGGAAAGGATTATCCATCATACAGCTCCTGTCATGGGAGACATTTTCATTATTGTTTTACTATATTATATAATTGCATCGCCCATAAGCACAGGACAGCCAGAAAAACCCTTTGTGCTGCCATCTCATGGAAGCAGTGCTGCAGACTCACAGGTGGGAAGGGTGGTGGGCACATGCCTTGTTCATTCACATCGCCTCCATCTTCCTAAATTATCTACAAGGAACTGGAGAAAGGGGGAAATAACCATAATCTCCTAACAAACCTACCAGTGAGGCAGTTTTACAGCTTGGCTCCAAGCCTCTGCTCAGAATCTCTTCCTCCTCTTTTTCAGAGCTCAGTGAGGATGAGCAACAGAGGGCATGGGAATCCTCCTATCTCCTCCCACTCTGGAGCAAAGATACCTCCAGAATGCTGCAACTCTGCAATCCTCCTCTCCTTCTGGGATGGTTTCAATGGTAAGATTTACAGCCTAAAAGATATCACTGAAGCCATGGCAGTAAGAGGGGCAGCTACAACAGGAAGGAGGAGAAACAGAAGTATTTTTCTGAGTCCAAGCCTTGCAGATGGTGAGAACAACAAGCAAAAGCCATGCTCGCAGTTAAAGCTAATGAAATTCTGCAATCCCCATGGGAAACTCAGAAACACAGGTATGAAATGAAGTACTGCTTCTTGTTTTCATTTGTTATTTAATACTTTGGTTACACGTTCAAATGCAATACATGGATGGAGTGCAGGGACTGAATTTCCTCAGATGCTGCTGGGCACGTCCCATTTTTGGTTCATAGCCCTGCATCCACATCTGCAGTTCCAGTAGCCACCTACAGTGAGGCGCCTTCAGGCAGGGAGGTTAGGAAGGAGAGCGCCTCTAAGACAGAGAGGCATGAGCATCCCAATTCAGACAGTGTCCATCTGCCCCAAACCATTTTTTGATAAATTTTAACATTGCAAGAGGATCTCTTTGTACCTTCTTGGTAGGCATCCACAGCCCTCCATTAGCAAGATAAGATTAAACAACAGCCACTTCTATCTTTATGTGGTAAAACAAGCTTCTGTATTTAAGATAAACTTTACAGGACAGGTGGTTTCCTAGAATGGAATATCCCCAAGAAAACATTTAACTATCCTACATAAACGTCAACAAGGTATGAGTAGAGCGCACCTAATAAAGGAGATAGAGGCTACAATAAAAAGGGGCCCTAAATCAAAGGGCAGGTTCACACCAGCAAACACTCACACACACTGGGCCGATTGGAACAGGCCCTTCAGCACTGCTGGCAGCCCTTCTGGTGTGGCTTTCCCTGCCTTTGCTTGGAGGTTTGACACACACCATCACCTTGCTGGGGTTGTGGCCGGGACTGCATCCACAAAACTGCCCCTGCGGGTTCTGTGTTGGGAGCTCGGTGCGGACTTCTACCTTTATCAACCCCTAAAAAAAAAAAAAAAAAAAAAAAAAAAAAAAAGGGGGGGGGGCGGCAAACGCAGAGCAAACATTATCTATTGTTAATTACCTGTAAAGTAGAGCTTTTGCCACTTCCCCAGTTTCTAAGAGCTCTGAAGTGAAACCTGAAAGAAGCCACCCATTGTTTCCAATTGTGCAAGAGCCAGGAGCAAATAGGGCTCAAATTGCAGCTCTGAAAGGCAGCAGGAAATTGGCAGCCCGGTAATCTGCTCCCCACCATTCAGGGGAACAAAGGCGACATTCCTCCTCAAGTAGTCACCATTAGAAACCCAAGGCTGATCTATTTAGTAAGGCCCACAGAAGAAATCTGTGGAAATAAAGAGTTTTAATTAGAAGGCCATAGGATATGGCTCCAGTTTCCAGCCCCTCAAGTAACATGTATTATTTAGGCCCTTACCGCTTTTCCCACATAACCAAACGCTGACACCCAGACATCAGCACCGCTGCCATTAAAAAACAGCCCAACAACTAATCAATGTAGAAACTGTTCATTACAGGTGGATCATACCGTACAGTGTGCTGTACCAAGAACATTTCAAATTGGTCCCTGTCTTGGGATTATATATTTTCCCCCTAGAATATTAACAATCCTCCTAAACCACCACACCCCCCCATCTATGGCATGTTTTAAATGTTCTCCAGAAACTGTTCTCCAGTGCTACAGTTTCCAGCGGGATGGGTTTTTTCCCCTCTCTCCCATCCATCCATCTGCACAGAATGACTCAGTAATTAAACACTGCTGGCCAAAGGCTCCTGGCTGTGCCAGCGCCTCACAGCGTGGCTCCACACAGCCCTGCAGCCACAGCTTTCCCAGCAGCCAAAGAGAAGCATTTCCTTCAGAGCTGTTTTATCAGGCACAGTTAATTTAAAAGAATTTAAGTCGAAGTGCAAAATGCTCTGAGATACTTTGCAATTTTTGCCACCTGAACAGATAAAGTTGTCCCAACCCCAGTGTGTTAGAACTGTCAGGAAGGAGAGCAGATGAGGTTAACTTTTCTAGGGGATGTTATCTGCACCTGGCAGCAGTGATGGATGACTCAGGAACTACCATGGCAGGTGCTCCTGCTCCACTACAGGGTAAGGGATGGAAAGTGGGGATACAAGAACACAGGCCCTACAACTCCAGGTTTGAAAGCCCATACAAAAACCTCTGTGGAGACTCCAGAATGGCACCTTCGGTCTCTACCACTTGCTCCAGAGAGACCTTTGGCTATTTAACACAGCAGAACTGGCGCATTTTCAACTCTTAACAGTATTTCCTCACATACTCTTGGCAGTTCAGTAAATTCAAGCCCAGGTACAGCCAAAGTTTGGCAAAGTTCATACATGGAGTTGAATTTCAGAACAAAAATTCATGACATCCAACTATCCTGTATTTCTCACCCTGACTAACCAGGTTTATCCTCACCTTGAATTGGATGAGATACAGGACATGTAAAAATGTATTAAATCAAAAAGTGCCTCAGTGACAGCACAAGTGCTCCTGTAGTCATAGCACATTTCATCCAGAAGAACTTTGCATGCCATGTAGGAAAATTAACAAGTGGACAATTATTCCCAAAAAGAAGGGGTCAGGTAAATGAGATTGGATTTAGATAAGGCTTGGGGATAAAAAGAAGGTACTGTGCAATCGCCCAATATCCAGGTTAGAGGAAAGCTCCAGCACTTCCCCCTTCCTTTCAGGCAACTAGTTTATTCATTTTCATCTGGAAGTGTGCTTCTCCAAGTGCACAGATCAGACATCAGAGAAGAAATGAAGCTTTGGAGAGAGCCTTCACCAGGCCAGGTAAACTCATCTCTTCCTCCTGCTTGGAGTGTGGAAGAGGAATCCTCACAGCACTGCAAGAACTCTCAGGTGGTTTGGAAATTGAAGTATGTGCCAGAAAACAGGAGGTTGCATTTAAAATAGACATTAAGTAGTTAATCAGTTATGTAATTTCAGCCTATTTAGGGAGCTCCAGCTACTTCTCACAGTCACTTTATCCCACAAACTAAGAACATCCTCAAATTTATGAGCACTGGGCATTCCTAAGGCAGTGCAAGCACTGTCGCCTGGCCAGCTCATTCACTGGTGTAAATCCATCAGCTCCATTCAGAAGAAATATTCCATGGAATAAACCCACTCATACTCTGGCAGCGACCCTGCGGGGTCAGGCAGGATGTGCCATTGTGCTCCTTCTTGCACAAACACAATGGGGTTCAGCCCCTGGGGGCAGAGCCTCTGTCAGGCTGTTTGTGCCTCCTGACATCGTGTTCTGCAGGATGTTTGTTTTCAGGTCGGGGCACCCAACCAACGTGTAGACAAAGGTTCACAAAACAGGGCGTGCTTACAAGGCCAGAGCCATGGCTATCAGGCACACCTTCCTCCAAGGACTGACCAAATGGATGCTTCTCTGCTCCAAAATAAAGAGCTACCACACTTACAAGCTAATTTTGGAATATCTACTTCCCCTGGAAGCACACTGTTTCTCTTATAACACTGCCCCACGCATGTATCAGGAATATTACAAAATCCAGGTGAATTTCTGGTTCTTTTTTGATGCTAAAATCAAAATTTATTCATTAAGACTAGTGTCTCACCCATACATACTTAAACTAAAAAGCCAAGCCATGTGTGGTTTGCAGGGACACTTTCCTGAATTTGCATTTATTGGAAAGTAAATGAGGCAATATCTCAAGCTTCACCAGGAGGAGCAGGAATGGCAGCTCCTGAGAAAACCAGCTGCACTGCATTCATTTATCACAAACATAAACCAAGCTGTAAACATCACTCTGGAGATCACAAGGTTTTTTGAGCAGATCCTTCAAGTGACCTTTTTGAGCAGCTCCTTACCACAGGCTCCTCATGGCTGGGCAACTAATGCCAAGGGAAGAAGCCATGCCTTGGCTCCTCCCACCAGCCAGAGGAAGGTGAAAGACAACCACAGGGAAGAACTACGAATGATCAAGAGCTGCCCTAAAAGCAAACTGCCCTGCAAATGAAGGGTCATCAGAACAAGACCTCTGCGGCCCCACGTGCTGTGTAAGGCTGCTAAATCCAGCTGTGTGACAGCACAACAGAATTTTATTCCAGGTTTTTTTCTGAAGCACCACCATGACTGACACAAATGCTCCAGCTGGAAGAAAGCCAACGATTAATCAGGATTCCTTAGAATTTGGAGGTAATTTTAGCAGAACAAGAAATGCAGAAGTATCAGTGAGTCCTGAACATTCCTCCAGGACAAAAATCTATTACTTCATATAAGTCCATTAAAACACTTCATCTAGCCCCTTTAATCCCTCTTAACAGATTTGCTTTATCACAGACAGAAGAGCTAATCCTCTCCCACCTGTCTTTATGATATGGAACTGTAAATAAGAGCAAGCACTTTTTTTTGCTAGGCATTATCCCCCCTTGCATAACGCCCTCACCCACCCCAGCATTGGTGTAAGGGAGCTGTCTTTGGAAACACCCCAACTCTGAGGGCAAATTCTCATTTCAGCCATGGAATCCTCCAGCATGGAACATGGAAACTTTATCTATCCATTGTGTTTGTTGCTAAATTACTGTTTCCTAAACTCATCTCTTACCACAAGTTTCGAGACACTAAGCAAAGTGAGAATTCCAGCTTGCTGGACTTCCCTTTTTCCTTCAACCCAGACCTTACATGTCTGAGGCCTTCGCTGTTGGAACCAGATGGCAGCCTCGGCCAAATCCATCACCCACCCGTGCAATTAGGTCAGTAGGTCAGCTGAACTTACTGCCTAATTACACCATCATTATTTTACACAGAGTGTAAAACATAAATGTAAAATTCTTGGCTTCTCAAAACAAGATTTCAGAAATATCAGGAAAAAAAGTAATTTTTATGAGCCACATTGCAATAGGCTCTGCAGACATGGAGGAGTAACCTCAAGCAGCCCCCCTGATAAATTTGGGGTTGAAGGACTAAAATGTGCACTTCAGTACCCTAATTGCTGGAAATCTCCTCAGCAACCCCCCTTCCAACACAACACAGCATCCTTGGATGGCCATTCCACTGTGGACAGTGGAACAGACACAGCAGCTGACCACTTGGGGCACATTGAAAGCAACCTGTGTCTCTTCAGGCTGTGGAAGCTTCACAGCTTCACTTCCTCCAGCTGTCAGCTTACTCTGCTCTTTCAGGCAGAAAGAGAATTCACATGCTCCCATCCAAGCCTGTGTGGTTCTACACCACAAAATCCAACTGCCTGAACGAATCCCCAGCCCCTTCCATGGCACAGCGCAATGACCTCACGTTCCAGAGAAGTCAGAAGCGAGCTCGGATAGATTTGTGTCGCAGTTGAGACGGCCGCGACACACAGAGTATCACCACACGATTTCAGGCAGCTTTCAGCACTTGCCCAAACAGAATAACACCTTACCTCATCAGAAGGCCTCTGGTGTCTGCCCACACAGAGTAACACCCTGTCACTTCAGAAGGCTGCAAGCATCTGCCCTTCTTGCCCTTCAGCCCAGCCTTTTATCCCCTGATGCTGATGCCCTGCCCCTGTGTGCCCTCTGCTCCCTTTGGTGGTTGGTCAGTGCCCCTGGGCACTCCTTACCCTCACTGCTGCTCACCTGCTCTGCACAGCTGTGGCCCATTGGGGATGAGCTGCAGCCCTACTCCCAATTAACACAAACTGTGCACCCACACATTTGTATGTTAAATACAAAGCATACAGCATCCAACCCTAGAGAAAAACACGTTATTCTCATTTTTCTAACACTGTCTGCTCTACCTGGCAATTAGAAAACCATGTAAGACCCGCAAGGAACTGTTTTCTTCTCCTTGCTGTGTAGGTCCAAGTAAATTTTTTCTCTAGAGGCACTGCAACCTCAAGTTATACCCAAAATCTGATTAGTAAAGGGAGCATTAGTATGACTAACTAGAGTGTAGCTGTTGTTTTAAAACAGAGATCTGAAACAGTGTCACAACATGGCTCCTGATGGAAGACAATCATTAAAGAATGGAGAACACGTGGGTCCTTTGGGATTTCTTCTCTTCTGCTAGGAACCAACCCAAACCCCCAGATAAGTCAGTCACTGGCTGAAAAAGGAGACAGAGGGCAGCACCCTTGGAGCAAAGGCCCTGAGCAGGGGCTGGCTGTGATCCAGCAGTGGAGGCAGTTGGCTCCGCGTTCCCGGGTGTCAGCACGCAGTTACCAGTGGACATCCCTGGCCAGCGTCGGACAAGGCCCCCATTGTGTCGCGGGGCCATTTGCAGCTGTCGCTCTTCGAGACGCGTGGTGACAGCGAAGGAGCGCAAGTCCCTGCTCCTCAGGAACATATCCCTCCTGGAAATTCCTGCTTCCTTTCGGGAAATCTTGGAAAGCAGAATCCGTGTGCATCCGGTGCTGCCCCCCAGCCTGTCACTTCTGTCACACAGAGGAGCAGCACCGCCCTGCAAAGCCCTCCTAGATGTACTCAGATGATGATTTCTCTTTGTTCCTCTCAGGGGTCATCTGTGCTGCTTAATATAAAAGCAGCTTCTCAGTCAGCCCTGTTCCATGACACTGCATCACCTGGGATGGAATTAACTACAAAAAGGCGAGCTTATTCAAATCACCACCGTGCTGGGATTAGAGCAGCTTGAATATGGTAATTCAAAGCAGCAGGACTTCAAAAAAGAGCAAGATATGACACATTTGTCAAGACATTGCTCTGTTCTGAAGTGGAGTTTCCCTAGAACCACTTACTCTGAACACCATGTGAAATTTCATCCATTTAAAACTTTTAAAGTTCAGGAGAATTGTGATGTAACCTTGACCCACATGAGGAAAAGAATGAGGTCTCCCCATTCACTCTTAATGAAAAGCTTTTTCTGTTGAATGTGTGTTAAATGGCCACAAGTAGCTGTGACACTTAGGTCACCCTTAAGAGCCTTTAATTTAAAGACAGAAGACTCAGTTGACATTGGAAAACATATGGGAAAAGACCCAAATAAGTCATAGACATAGGCCCAAACACACACACACATTCCCAGATTTCAAAGCTACCAAACTACAGCAACACAATCACTATTTTTCATCCTGGCTCCAAACTTTTTATTTAGAATCGAGGTGGGGAGATTAAATTCTTCAACTGCCGCACAATTTAACCAGCCATGAAGTTCTATATAGGAAAATTTTCAATGGCTTTGCATGTTAATGTGGTATTCCTTAAAAAAAACCAAAAACAACAAAACAAACACCAAAAAAGAAACCAACTTGGAAGTTGTGGTTTCCTCCTCCACAAATGTATTTCCAAATGCTTTGGTAAATAAATAGAGCCTCCATTTCTTGGCACTGTTAAGCACAACACAAATTCAATTGTATTAAACATCCCTTATTTGATATATAGTTGGCTTGAACTTAAAATTAGGTAAACTAAACTAGAGCACAGACTAGTGGCTTTGAAGTATCAATAGGAGGTTATTTGCCACCTGACAGACCTGAAGGAGGAGGAACAGCCCAGCAATACACACAGGTAGCTCACAACCTGCCAGTTGTAACAAAAGAACTCCAGAGGCGTTTTCATTAATTAATATATTTTCTGCATTATAGTTAACATATGTACTTTCTTCGTGTCATCCTTATTTCGTTAAGTATTGATATTTTGTTATATTCAGACATGAGTACATTTTCGAAGTCTTTTGCAATAAATATCATAAAATAATAGAGATTCACATAATAAATATTCTTTACAATAAAAAAAGTTTTAACAGACTTTTGTCTTAAAAATAGTTGGGATTCAACTTTGTGTTTTATACATAAAATATACAAAAAAGGACCACAATTTGTGGCTAAGGCAATAAAACAGGGACAGAATAAAATTATAAAGTACAGAGCAGAGCTAAACTCACTAAGCCAAAGGATCACAAGAGACTTGAAGGATTCAAGAACATTTAGGTGACTCAATGACACCTGAAGGCTGTTTGGATATATGAACACCACCAACTTTAATATCAACTGATACTGACAGACTATAAAAACTGGATTAGGAGGGTGGAATACGCAATATCCTTCAAAGACTGGACAGCAAAAGAAACAAATGAGTATGTTGCAGCCACAACGTCTCCAATGTGAAGATCTACACAGTGTAGCAAAAACTGAAGTTACATTGAAAATGTAAAAAAAAAAAAAAAAAAAAAAAAAGAAAAAAAAAAAGGCTGGGGAATTCTCAGGTCTGAGAATGTTCCAAAAGTTAAGAGAAAAGGAGAGGGAGAAAAAAAAAAAGATGCAAAAAGAAGCAGGCTGCTTATAGAAGAGTCAGGCCTTTCATTTGGTGAAGCCTTTATTTTACATCCCTCTCCAGAAAGAACACACACAAAAAGTTATTTCACAATCCAGCTCACTCAGGAAAATTATTCTTCCTTGGCACCCAGGAGGTTAAGGAGAAAAAAACCGTAACTTGCTGAGAACAAAAAAAAAACATCTTTGGGAAGATATTCACAGAGCAAGAAGCTTCAAGAGCCCAGTGAGCCCTCACTGTCTCTTTCAGGAGTGGTTCAGTTACAAACTCAAAGACCCTGCCCGAAGGAGCGGCAGGTGCAGATCCCAGGTCCACACTTACCAAAGAGCAGCAGCGACTGCGTGAAACGCTCCACACTCAGCCAAGTCAGTAGGAGGAGGAGAGCAAAGATGCAAGGGGAAGAGCTCATGTGTCTGAAGCTGGGCAGACAGAAAGGAAAGGAAAGCAACAGTCCTCCCAAAATGGGAGAGGAGGGGGGGGAAGAAGAAAAGATGGGGGCAGGGAAAAAAAATCAGCTACAACCTGAAAAACTGAAGTTGGAGGAAGTAAACCTCCCTCCCAAAATCATGAGGGCTTGCCCTGACCCCGGGAGGGGCAGCTCTCCAGTTTACAATAGACCGTGTTGGAGTTCTTGCACCGGCACCCCGGACGATTGACGCGGTCGTAGCACCCCCGGCAGAGTTTTAGGCATCCTTTGGCCGGAGGGTAGCAGAGCAAGCAAGGCAGGAACAAGGACATGGCTCCCATGCACAGGTACCTAGAACAGCAGTGTGACTGGGAGCAGGAGCAGGGATTATCCGCGTACGAGTCCCCTTCATCGTCGTTGGAACAGTGGTAGAAGATCCCTTTGACCAGGCACATGCAGGTGCCGTACTCCACCATGCTCTCGGCCGAGCACAGGCACTGCCGGTTGCAGGCCAGGCAGGAGGGCAGGGCCCGCGGCGCCGTGCACTCCCCGCACTTGCACTTCCCGCACTGCTCGCAGATGAACTTGTGCTGCGTCAAGTCCTCTTTCAAAGGCCCCTTCAGATCGTCCGCGATCAGCGCCGACTGCTTGGGCTGCGCCCGGATTGTCCGGTCGGATCTGTGGCCGGAGCCCGGCCGGGAGGGCGGCGAGCGCCCCAGCAGCCCTTGCTCCGAGGAGGCGCTGCTGTTGCTGCCGGAGCTGGCCGCGCTGCCCGTGCTGGTGGAGCGGCTCAGGACGGGAGCCCTGGTGTTATGCTGATGGACCACGTGCCCCGCGTGGCCGGGCCTGTGCTCGTAGTTATTATTCACATTAATCGGTATAATCTCGTGAGTCCTCTCATGCTTCTCCTGCCTTGGCGCCGTCCGCGGACCCGACTTTTTCACCACCGACGGCCCCTCGGTGTATTCGTTGCTGCCCCTGATGGCCTTGATCTGGTCCAGTGACAAGATGGTCGTGGGCTGGCTGTCCCTGTCATAGTCCAAGCGCTGCCGGCTGTCCAGGGAAGGCTGCTGAATCACCACCAGGGAGCCGCCGCTGCCGTGCTGACTTTGGGGCTCCATCTGTAGTGATCTCTGCTGCTGGCATTCAGCGGGAACCTGGCATGCATCTGAAATCCTGAAACAAGGAAGGAGACAGAAGGTGTAAATAAACACTGCGTGTGTACATATACACACACGAGATCAAGGGCAGCGGAGGGATAAAGCACCGGATACTTTCTGAAAACAGAAATGATCTGGCAAAGCCCAAACTGCCCCAGCCACCTGGTACTGATCACTTTCAGCAGGGGATTACAGCAGTGCTGAGGATCTGGCCAAAGTCCAGTAATGGGGAGAGTCTGGGTATGGCATCATGGATGAGGAATGCAAAGGAGACCCCACGCCATTTAAAAAAAAAATAAAAAATAAAAAATAAAAATCCAGTATTAACTTGTATGCTTTCTTGGCAAGCCATGGGAAGTGCCTCTCCCTTGCTACTGAGCTCAACATCTGTCTCTAGCAACAGCAATTCCGAATGCCCCCGACGCTGAGCTGGAAACAGCCAAGAACACCACTACATTCATGTTTCGTATGGCAGAGTGAGGAATGAGCCCAGTTCTCACTCTTCTGCCTGAATCTGCAGCATCAGAAAGCTCCACAGATTTGCTTCCTAGTGCATTTGGAAAGTCTCCCTCTTAAAGTGACGTATGTGCATTACAGAGTCCTGAACTAAGTGCTGTCAAGTGGCCAAGACATTTTCTGTGAGAAAGTAACTCAGTCTACACATCTAATATGCTCCTTTATAAAATTAAAGCAAGGGTGCAAACAACCTGTTTTCAAATATTGCCTGACCACAGGCCAGAGTGAGAAAGAAAAATGGGGTAGAAAAAGGTTTAGATGAACTAGGCGTCAAACAAAAAGTACCTGAGCATTCAGGAGAATGTTAAGAGCAGATAAAAACCCCTCAACAAGAACCTCAAAACACAAACAGAGAACAAATCCATTTTCACAAGACAGATTAAAAGCTTCTCAAATAAACAGAACATCTGCTCATCTATCTTTTAAATAGTAGGAGAATAGTAGAGATGTTACACATTTCCATCCCTTTCCATCCTGCCTAGCTAGAGCTATGAAGGTTGCCACACTGAGAAAACTGCAGTGACAGTTCTGCACCTACACAAAGATGTAGCTGAGTATCTAAGTGCCACATTTATGCAGGGACCCAAGACAACAAACTGCTTTTCTTTACTGCCAACCAGAGGAAAAGTCCCTTTTCACTCCCCCCCGGGATGCCACAAGTGTTCACCTGAAAGCAAAGAAAGCTAAGTGCTATCAAGCATTTCAAAAACTCATCCAATAATGCTATGAGAGTGTCTTGTGTACCCAGACCACAGCCAGCATGGAGCTGTTCCCCACTCCAGAGAGTAAAAGGCACCGTGGTGTGGAAACACAGGAAGAACAAGAAGAGGAAATGTTTCTTCTAGCAGGCAGTCACCATGGGCAGAAAGTGACAGCTTCTGATGTGACACAAAATCTTTGTCCTCATCCAGTAGTCAAAGATTTCATTTTACATCTAGCATCACCTGTGTGGGCTTTGTGGTCACCAGATTAAACAGAAAACCAAACACTCTCACTTCTAATTTACAGAATAGAATCACAGAATGGCTTGGTTGGAAAGGACCTAACAGACTCTGCAGGCTTTGGGACTGGCCATGGGCAGGGACACCTTCCACTAGACCAGGTGGCTCAGAGCTCCATCTGACCTGGCCTTGGACACTTCCAGGGATGGGGCATTCACAGTTTTTTCCTGTGCCAGTGCCTCACCACTCTCCAGCAAAGAATTTCTTCCTACCCCACACAAGAAGCAGCCTTCTTCACGAGCACTGAATACAAATCCACAACAGACCAAGGGTGAATGAATGCGAAAAGGGAAAGATTTACAGCTGTACCAGCCAGGAGCTGGGCTCCCTAGGGGATGAAAAACAATATCCCAAGAAAATGCGAAAGACATCCAGTGCCATCTTTGGGGGGAAAGCGCAACATCAACGCGGCGCAGACTGACAAGCCCAGCTGCAGACCGGGGCGATAGTTGAACCAGCCACCTCCACCCCCGCGCAGATCGCTCGTAAACTGCTTTCCCCCCGGACAATGAAATAAAAATGAGTAAAGCAAAATAATAAAATAACGTACGGCGCAGGCGGCGAGAGCCCTCACGGTTCTGCACCCGGGGCTGCGCTCCTTCCCCGCACCTCGGGGGTGGGATCCCGCTTCCCTCCCCTTCTCCACACCCGCTCGGACACGCCGCCAGCGCCCCCGTCCCGCCCTGCTCCGCCCCGCTCCCCGCAGCCCCGGGCAGGCGGCGGCGGCGCGGCGCCCTCTGCGCCCCGAGCAGAGCGGAGCGGATCACGGCGCTGACGGAGAGGAAGGAAGAGGAGGGGAAAAGGGGAAGAAAAAAAAGTTATGAATGAAAACACAGGCTTTTTTTTTTTCTCCCTTTCCTTTGCCTCCTTGTCTCTCTTCCTCAGGGGAAGGCAGATCTTAGCCCGGCGCTGCCTCGGGAGGGCGGATTACCTGGCGCTTAAAGAGGCAGCCGAGCGGCCGCTCAGCCCCAGGGTTTCCCCGCGCTGCGGCTCGGCACCCGCCGCCTTAGCCCCTCCGGCCCCCACCTGCGAGGAGCGTTTGGGGCGTGTTTTTGACCTTCTGCTCGTTCGCACCCGGCCACGGTCCCCAGCAAGCCTTCCCGCAGCAGCCCAGTGCCTCTATTCCGGAAGGGGGATGGTGGGAGGGTGGTCGGGGCCGCCCCTCACCGGGCGGGCGCCGCAGCGCCCCGCGGCACCTGCTCGCTGCGGCAGCGCCGGCCCCGGTGTGAGCGCACGGCGGGTCCCAACTTACTGATGTGCAGGGAGCCCCTGGGAACGGCAAATCCAGCGGGCGGGGGGCGGCGGGGCCTCGGCTCCTCGCTCTCCCGGCCCCCGGGACGGGGAAGGCCGGCGGGCTGCGCTCCTCGTCCCCGCACAGCCCTCGCTCGCCGATCTCCACGTCCTACTGGGCCAGCGGAGAAAAGACCCGCTCTCCTGCCCACCGCAGCTCCCCTCTCCCGGGGGTCAGCATGCAGCGGCCCCAGCCGCCCGTGGAAGCGGCACTCTCCTTCGGCCGCAGCTCTCTCGGTCCGGAGGCGACGGGGAGCAAATCCAGCCCTTCCTGCAAAACGGAGTGTCTGGATCGAGCCTCAGGCGGCTGCAGGCTGCGGCAGGCAGCGGGGCTTGTTGCGATGCAGGTCTCCGGGAAGAGGCGGCGGGTGCGCGGCTCCTGCTCCGGCTGTTTGTTATTCCCCTTTGCGAGCGCAGAGTGCAGGGCTGCGGTCCCGCTCGGCTTCACCGCATGGTCCTTGCCGCAAGTCCCGTCTGGCAAAGTGCAACCACAACCTCTGGTGCGAAAGATTTGGTTGGGTTTTTTCTTTTTCGTTTTTTTTTTTTTTTTTTTTTTTTATTTTCTTTTTAAAACGATCAAGAAGCGGCTCTGGCTCTCCAGGCAGAGCTCAGCGAACTGCGAACGAAGCCAGAGGCAGCGCAATGCAATGGCCCTGCGAGCTCCCCGCACACAGCCATGTGCTGGCTGTCGCTGCCGGGGGCCGAGTGACAGGCTCGGGGCAGGGGCAGGACGCGGCGGGGAGAGGCGGCCCCGCACGCCGCAGTCCAGCACCGAGGTCTCTGCAGGCTCGAGAGGGTCGCGCAAAGCTCCGACGCGCCGGAGACCCCGCGTCGGGCGGGACGGGCGAGTACCGACCCGGAGCTTCTCTGTGAGCAGCGAATCGCGCCCAGCTCAGGGCTGCCGGCCCGGGGAGCCGAGCCCCGGCTCTCCCGCCCGCTGCCCCGCGGAGCAGCGAGCGCGGCTCGCCCGCACCTCCCGCACGCCTCGCAGCGCGGCCGCCCCCAGCGCGGCGCGCCGCCCGGGCTTACCTAGGGCCGGGGTGAGCGCCCGCCTCCCGCGGCACATTGGCGGCGCGGATCCAGCCCGGGCAGTGCCGGCAGCCGCTCCGCGCTGCCCCGCCGCCGTTCCGGAGTGACTCGGGCCGCGCCTCGCCGCCTTTCAGCGCGCAGCCCCCGCCCGCCGCCGGCCGCGCCCCCCTGATGTCAGTGTGCCTCCGAAATCCCGGCGTGGATTCCCCGCCCTCCCGCCGGGAGCCGCTCCCGCGCGGGCACCGCCGCTCCCGCGGGCCGCCAGGGAAGGAAGGAGGGAGGGAATGAAGAGGGAAGGAGGGAGGACCTGCCCCTCTCTGGCCCCGGCCCCGCGCTGTCCCGCAGCCGCGGCTTCTCCCGGGGCCCCGCCGGCAGAGGGAGCGCCCCGGGGGCTCGGCCCGGCGGAGCTCATGGAGCTGCCGCGGCACCGCCGGGCACTGGGCTCTGCTGAAGGGCTGAAGTTCTGCCACGCTCCTCTGACAGCGTTACAGAGAGATTCTTGTATGTGTTTTACCGTCAGCGCCCTTCAAGCCAGGTGGAACAGCCCTTGTTTATATTCACAAGATATTTTCTGCTTCCTTCAGACTATTGCAGAGCCAGCTGAGGACCCGAGAACAGCATTCCCTCTTGTCATCCTGCCATGAGGTAGGAAGTGGCTCTTCTCACCGTTTTACGGCTGACATTGCAGCACCAGAGATGATACGGGTTATCGACCCGGCTGTCTCCCTCCCGCCTTTCCAGCCCTGCCTCGGCAAGGTCCCATCCAAAGCTCATCACTGCATCTCTGTCATGGTGCCAAAGAGATACAGGGGTGCTTTCCAAGCCAGTAGTTTTATGGCCAGATATTACCTTTAACATAAGATTTTTTGGGGTTTGGTTTGGTTTTTCTCAGTGAGTGGAGTATTTAAACAGGCCACCAAAATAACATGGGAGAGTGATATAAAACACATCCAAATTCTGAAAATTATTTCATAACAGCATGTAAAGTATTGGAATAGTTGAGACTTCCAGTACTTGGCTAACCACCACTCAGCCTTATCTGAAACATACTAACAATCTCTCACAAAAAAAAAAAAAAAAATATTCTCCCACCTTTTGCCCCCAAGAAAGTTTATCTGAAACATACTAACAATTTCTCACAAAAAAAAAAAAATATTCTCCCACCTTTTGCCCCCAAGAAAAGATGTGCTAAGGATATGTGGAGCTGCTTAGCAGGAACATACATCCAAAAGCAAACAATCCCTACAAACAGGATTGTACCACAAAGGTAGTACTCGGTGATAGTCTGTGCACCCAGCCCACTCTTGTGGATGTAGCACAGTTATTTTCCATCCAAATTCACAAAGCTTGGAAAGAAATCACCTAAACTGCATTTTTGAAATTTTCATAATTTTGTATGCGTTAGAGGTTCTATATTGGATACTAGGATATAGTACTAGTGGTAGTGTGACTCCTAATACTTCTGAGTTTGTAATTAACAGATTGCTGATACAGACAAACCATAAATACCATTCTCCAATGACAGAGGCTCAAAGGACAAGCTACGGCATAAAAATCCTTGGTGTGGAATAAAAGTATTCCAAATCAGCATTAATATTGCTGTGGGATTTAGAAAGTGTGATTGTTCACCAAAAGCATTCTCAGGCACACCTTGAGCACAAAGTATAAAATCACTTTCAATGAAATCCATCTGAAAACTTTGGAACCTATGAAGAGTTAAAAAAACCTATGAAGAGAAAAAAAATCCAACTGAAGAACCAAAATGACTAAGAAAATTTTAAAAAACCATTACTCCTGCAGAGCAGTCTTAGTGGTGCGCGTTCATCTTGGAGACTTTAGCAGGGCTCTGTTCTCACAGAAGTCCGTATGCATTTTTCCTAGGACATGACCACAAAAACACCCTAACACCTCTCCTTTCACATCTCTAAAGCCAATACCACCTTAACAAACCTATGCCAAGTGCAAGAGCTTGATTTTAGAAACATAATACCAGGCTTAAATGGGTCAGTCAAATAACCAGGAGTACTGGCAGGTGTTCACTATCACCTGGCACCTGAATTAATACTTCACTGAAAGAAGGGAAAACCCTCCAGCAATATCCAAAGGCTCTCCCCAGGCTCAAGCAAACATTCCTGCACCTCACAGAGATTCATCTCACTAGATTATTCCTGGAAATTATAGGAGTGAGAAGTTCTGATTAGAAAAAAGAAGAGCTACATCCTGGAGAATGAACTGGCACCTATGGCTACATCCTGGCATGGCCTTAATTTGAGGATTGATGCACAGGCAGGAATCTGATGCAACCAAGTTATTTTCTGTCTCCAAACCATAATCTAGAGGTGGCTCAGCTGACACCAGCAGAGACCAGCCCTCTACGCCTGAAGTAAATTCTTCAGAAAAACCTGCCAGAATGGGGTTCCAGAGACTGAATGATGGCCAAGAGCAGTGATCCAATCCCTGTTTCCAGTTTCACTTTGAGAATCAGGTACTGGACATAATCCCCACCTTCTGCAGTCAGATGCTACTTCTCCCTCACAGCAGCCTGAGTGCCAGAAGGTGCTTTGGACAGAACAAAAGCACAATCCATCCTTAGCTTTTTGTTTGGTTTTCTTCTAATCCACACCTAGAAGCAACTTTTATCTTTAGGTGACTTAAGTGATCTTTGTGAAGATGCACTGGATAAACTGTGATCCTCCCACTGTCAGTTACAACTATTTCCATGGTGCATCCCACCTGGGAATATTATTCTATTTCTCCCTAAGCAACATCTCTTAGCCTTACTAAGGCACAAATCCCAATCCAGAAGGAAGACACACACTCAGCCCCAGCCACAAAGCCAACATGGCTTTGAGGAGACTCAGCAGGGGAAGTGTTTCCCTTTATGCATGTTACTTGTCGCTTCATAACCAATCTTCACAGCTGCAACAACATTTCTAAGGTTACAGAGGAATTCAAAGGCAACTAAACACCCCCTCCATTAGCATTTATAACAAAATTATGAACCAAATTGTTGTGCCACTCTTACCTGTAGCATGTGTAGGTCAGGTACTTCCCTCACCAGTGATGATCTTGCAGAGGTGGCGTCAGGAGAACCAACTGGAAGCTGCAGCTCCCCAAAGCTTTGTGTGTCAGCAACTTTGAGTTTGTGTCAGGTGGAACTTTGTAGTTGTCAGTGCTTGAACAGTCTCAGAAACTCTCAGTGCTTGTTGGGACAAGACCAGCATAACTAATTTTTTAACACACCATTGGGCCTATATATACTACAAGGCAAGAGGAAATGGCCTCAAGCTATGCCAGTGGAGATTTAGATTGGGGATCAGGAAAAATTTCTTCACTGAAGGCACTGGAACAGGCTGCCCAGGGAACTGGCTGAGTCACCAGCCCTGGAGGGATTTAAAAGATATGTAGATGTGGTGCTTAGGGACTGGTCTAGTGGTGACTTGGCAATGTTGGGTTGATGGCTGGACTCAATGCCCTTAAAGGTTTTTTTCCAACCTAAATTATTCCATGATTTTAAAACTCTCCAACAAACCAACAAAAGCTATGGAACACTACTGTAATAACAAG